GGGCAATTAGGGATTGGGCAGTAAATGCTGCCTGGCCAGTAATGCCCTTATCCTGTGAATAGATAAAGGGGAAAAGAATCCCCACAACAGGACAGCTCTGACCATAAGTCTGGGCCAGTCATTGCTTCCCCATCTGCTCTCCCATGCCTCAGATCCCTGATGACCAGGCTGGGTCTGTCCTGGTCAGACCTCACTGTCCTGAACGCACGCCTGCTCCCCACCCACTCCCCAAACCCACCACACCCAACAGTCCGGCTCAATTCAGAACCGATGTATCTCTCCATCACTCTCTCCGTCTCCCCCCATCTTCCCCTCTCTACCCTCCGCCGTCTCTTCTCCCCTCTCCCTTCCCTCCCGCACTCTCGTTCTCTCCACATTCCCCTCTCCTCGTCCCTCTGTCACATCCTCTCCACTTCCCCCACCATTCCCCCCCTCTTCTCCTCATCCCCTCCCTTTCTCCTGTTCTCTCCATGTTGCCCTCCCTCTCACCTAGTCTCCCCATCTCCTCCCCTCTCCCTACAATCTTACCCATATCCACCCCTCCCCCCGCCAACAATCCTTTCTCTGACCAGTCTCCCTCCGCCTCCCTCTCCACCCTTCCCCTTGGCCTTCCCCCATCAACTGCCCTGTCTCCCATCTCCTCTCTCTCCCTTTCCCATCCCCTCATCTGTCTCTCTCTCTCACTCCCCACCCCCTCTCTTCTACCGCAAGCCCCCAATCGCCTCTTCCCGTGCTTGCTACAGCCGTTCCCCCTCACTGTCAGTGACTGGGAAGGAACACTAGCTGTGCACTTGGGGGACAGGAGTCACGTCGAGTCACTGGGATTCAGGACGGGAGTCACGTCGAGTCTCTCGGATTCAGGACGGGAGATGTCCGTCCCAGGGCTGAGGGGCTGCACGACAATCGGACCTGGTTTACATGGTGACCGATACATGCGTGTGACCCGCGCCCATTCTCCAACATACAGACACAAACCCCTCTCCCCACCCTCCCCCGAAAACACCTCCCCCGCCCCGTGTCCGTACCACATCAGACTCCAGGTCGAAATCGTCACTGTTGCTGTCACCGCCTTCCCAGCGCTGCAGCACCTTCTCTCGGTGCTCCCCGTTCACCTTCGAGCTCACCACCGTGTCGGAGGTCTTATCTAGCCAGGAGGGAGTGAGGGGGGTGGTGAGGAGAGATGGGGTGTAAGGGAAGGGGGGTGGAAGTGAGGGAGAGAGCCAACAAGTGTGAGGGAAGGGAAGGAGAGAGCAGGCGAGCATGAGAGGCAGAGGGGAAGGAGCGAGACAGAGAGACGGAGGGAGAGATGAGGAGGGAGAGAGGGAGGGGAGAGTGCGAGAGTGTGCAAGTGGGAATACGGGCCAGGAGAGCGGAGGAGAGCGGGAGAGCGCGGGTAAGGGAGGAGAGAGTGAACGAGTGGGGTAAGAGGGAGGGGAGGAAGTGCGATGGAGACAGAGGGAGGGGAAAGATAGAGGAAGGAAGACAAAAAAAGAGAGAGATTTCATTCTTCGGGATGTTCGATGCAGGAACAATGTCTAAACCCCCGAAACCCTGACGAGGGGGCAGGGGGAACTGAAGACTGTGAAGAGGACAAGGGGTTTACTGGACCATGTTGGGGAGGGGCGTTGTACAGTTATGTGCAATTCCTGGGCCTGACATGTGCACGCAGTTGTTCAGCTGTAGTAGGATAGTATGTGATCCTCCATCCCAACATCATGAGCCCCACCGACACCAAAACCTTTAAAAAAATGCATCACTTTCTCGAATATACACAGCCACCTGGCCCTGTGTGGGAGACAGTTCCACATGGTCGCTATCCTCTGGTTGAGAAATAGTCCCTGCTTCAGTCCTACCCTGAGAGGCTGTCTCTCCCCCAACCCTGGTTCTAGACTCTCCCCAGGCAGGGGCAACATTCTCCCGGCATCGAGAGTTACAATTTTACATGTTTCAAATCAAGAAACTCGATTGGATATAGGCCCAGTCAAAACAATCTCTCATGCATACAGCACGGAAACAGACCCTTCGCTCCAACTTGTCTGTGCTGACCCCGATATCCTAAATTAATCCAGTCCCATTTGCCAGCATTTGGCCCCTATCCCTCTAAACCCTTCCTATCCATGTCCCCATCCAAATGCCTTTTCAATGCTGTAACTGTACCAGCCCCCACCACTTCCTCTGGCAGCTCGTTCCATACACGCACCACCCTCTGTGTGGAAAAAAAGAGATCCTTTTTAAATTTCCCCTCTCACCTTAAACCTATGTCCCTCTAGTTTTGGATCCCCCCCCTACCCTGGGAGGTAAAAAAACACCTTGACCGTTCACTCTATCTGTGCCCCTCATGATTTTATAAATCCAAGGTTACCCCTCAGCCCCCGACGCTCCAGGGAAAATTACCCCCAGCCTCTCCCCATAGCTCAAACCTTCCAGCCCTCCACATATATCCATCTGCCACTCCTCAACCCATTGACCCAGGCGATAAGGATCCCTTTGTAACCTTAGAGAACTGTCTTCCCTGTCCACTACACCATCAATTTTGGTGTCATCCGCAAACTTACTAACTGTGCTCCTATATTATCATCCAAATCATTTATACAGGTGACAAACAGAAGTGGGACCCAGCTCTGATCCCTATGGAACACCGCTGGTCACAGGCCTCCAGTCCAAAAAGACTTGATAAGACAACCCATCGCACTGCAGGTAAACCTCTCCCGGAAAATACGTGTAAAAACAAAACGGAGACTGAAACCGTTCCAGACAGGGGCTCCCCACCGCCCTGTACAGCTGTAGGAAAACCTCCCTCCCCGTCTTGCCTCCGTTCCCCCCTGGTGACAAAGACCCCGACTTGGCGTTCACTGTCGGAACCCACTCGCTGCCTCCCCGCACGCAGACTCGATGGGATCCCATGTACCGGGTTTCCCAGATCCCTCTGCAGCCGCGGCGGTCTCTCTCTCTCTCTCTCCCCGTTTGTCTTCCCCGCTGAACTGGAGATGAGTTCGCTTTCTCCTCCTTGCACTTGCTGCTTCCTGGCCTGGCCGCGTCCCTTTGCGCAAACTCTCCTCCACCAACGCTCATATCGCGAATCAATCCCAGGTCCTCAGTAGGTAGGGGTTAGTTTAGAATGGGGGGAGAGACAGGAAATTGGACGGTCACCCCACACGTGCTGCCGTAGATCTGGAGCACAGTGCTGGGGCAGGGGGTGTGAAACGTGGAGGGAAGGGGCGGGAGGAGGTTGGGTGCCTCGGACTCACCCCTCGTTGCATAGTTGAGGTCCACGTCCCTGAACTGCACCACCACTACATCAGCAGGTTTGAAGATCATGGTGTCGATGATGTCCTCGCTCTTGGGGCCAGCCACGGTCTCCATCGTCTTCCGGTGAACTGTGTCCACGGCCAGCTCAAACTGGGGACCCAGCAACGGGGGGGTTGGTGGAGGAGTGGGAAAGAGACGTTGGGAATAAGAACGAAAAGGAAATTTAGCGGCCGTGGGTTCAGAAGGACAGAAACAAGAGGGGGGGTTGGAATAGTGGGAGGGACACACACACACAGAGGAGGTGGAGCGAGAGTGAGAGAGAGAGAGAGAGAGAGAGAGAGAGAGACACACACACAGGAGGTGGAGCGAGAGTGAGAGAGAGA